GATCTATCTGTGTGTACTCTTGTGAGACCGGAAAGTGAAATTGTACCGTCACTCTTATAACGCACTCACAGCCCCAAAGTGCGGAGCGTGATTTTTTAGGAAGGGACTGAGAGGCGGTAATGGAACGCGAACCAAGGAATCTGCACGTTAACCACTAGGCCGCGCCTGGCTCGAGATTGGTAATGGGACGCGAACCAAGGAATCTTCACGTTAACCACTAGGCCGCACCTGGCTCGAGAATGGTAATGGGACGCGAACCAAGGAATCTGCACGTTAACCACTAGACCGCGCCTGGCTCGAGATTGGTAATGGGACGCGAACCAAGGAATCTGCATGTTAACCACTAGGCCGCGCCTGGCTCGAGATTGGTAATGGGACGCGAACCAAGGAATCTGCATGTTAACCACTAGGCCGCGCCTGGCTCGAGATTGCTATATGAAACATAAATTTTCTATGTTTTCAGATATTATTTCTCTAAGAGATAAGCTGTATCATATTCTATAAAGAAAATCGCGCGAATAATCTGTAGTTTAGTTATATCCAGTAAAATGACTCCAGGAACGGTTTTTCTATTAGCGTAAACATATACACTTCTAGAGGGACACTCGGTAGAGCGTACACTTCCGCCACGCAGCGTTGATCGTATTCGACTCTCAAAGAATACGAAAATGTGTCCGTATGTCATTCGTTATCAACAGATACAAACCATTTTTGGCAGGGCCATGAAGAATAGTATTCTACATATGTCCACCAAGTTTAATCAAATACCAATAATTTTTGACTGAGTTATAGAGGAAAAATCGGTCCTCAAGTTAACAAATAGGGATCTGTAACACAAACTTACTGCTGGCCCACCGGGGGACCAGTTTTTAACACAAACTTACCGCTGGCCCACCGGGGGACCAGTTTTTAACACAAACTTACCACTGGCCCACCAGGGGACCAGATTTTAACACAAAATTACCGCTGGCCCACCAGGGGACCAATTTTTAACGTAAACTTACTTAGTCCATTCCAAGCTTTTACTTGTTGTTAAACAAATGTTTAAACAACTCAATTCAATTATGTATCAGCTGCCTAGTGTCGGCTAACTATACGAAGAATTAAATTGTAGCGGAATGCTACAAGTTATTCAAATACCTATAGAATGACAGGTTCCTTTTTTGTGAGTGTAAAACACTTAAATACACCATATAAAAACAATTGATATTATTTCTCTGTGAAAAACAAACAACCGCCCTGTCATATTCTTCCTTTTTTTAAAAAAAAATCCATTTCTACCCTAATTCCATCGAATTATGGGTAACCTTTGTAAGTGAACAGTCTTTACACCGGGGTGGCTAGCCTAGTCAGTAACCATGGAGGACGGGGGTCTTGAACTCGTGATCCCCAAATCATGAGTCGACCATCTTAACCACCGAACCGTGCCAGGTCTGTCATCTTCTTGGTGCTTAAGACATTTAAGCATTGTTTTTAACATCATAGTGTAAATAATTTATGTAAACACGCTAAATATCTAGAGAAATGATTTATGTAAACACGCTAAATATCTAGAGAAATGATTTATGTAAACACGCTAAATATCTAAAGAAATCATTTATGTAAACACGCTAAATATCTAGAGAAATAATTTATGTAAACATGCTAAATATCTAGAGAAATAATTCATGTAAACACGTTAAATATCTAGAGAAATAATTTATGTAAACACGCTAAATATCTAGTGAAGTAAAGTATGCGAAATATTTAGAGAAGCAGCTCAATTATAATACGCTAAATATCTAGAGGCCCCCAGTGGCTCAGCTTTAAGTCTAAGGACATATAGTACTTAAATTGAGTTTCGATACCCTCGGTATTGGTTTGGTAGTTATTAAACGCAAAGCTACATAATAGGCTATCTGTGCTCTGCCCATCACGGGTATCGTAACCCGATTTTTAACGTTCTAGGACTGTAGATTTAGCGCTGAATCACTGGAAGGCGATCCGCTCGGTGAGAACAGAAAAGATAGCCCCTTCTTGTAACTTTGGGCTCAACAACAAATAAATAAAACATCTACAGAAGCCAAATAAAAGACGCTAAATATCTAGAGAAGTAAAGTAAGAGACCCTAAATACCTAGTGGAGAAAAATAAAAAATGCTAAATATCTAGAGAAGTAAAATAAAAGACGCTAAATATCTAGAGAAGTAAAGTAAGAGACCCTAAATACCTAGTGGAGAAAAATAAAAAATGCTAAATATCTAGAGAAGTAAAATAAAAGACGCTAAATATCTAGAGAAGTAAAGTAAGAGACTCTAAATATCTATAGAAGTAAAATAAAAGACGCTAAATATCTATAGAAGTAAAATAAAAGATGCTAAATATCTATGATATTTAGCGTCTTTTATTTTACTTCTATAGATATTTAGCATCTTTTATTTTTCTCCACTAGGTATTTAGGGTCTCTTACTTTACTTCTCTAGATAATTAGCGTCTTTTATTTTACTTCTATAGATATTTAGCGTCTTTTATTTTACTTCTCTAGATATTTAGCGTCTTTTATTTTACTTCTTAGAGAAGTAAAATAAAAGACGCTAAATATCTATAGAAGTAAAATAAAAGACGCTAAATATCTATAGAAGTAAAATAAAAGACGCTAAATACCTAGAGAAGTAAAGTAAACGACTAGATATCTAGAGAAGTAAAGTAAAACTCGCTAAATATCTCAAGCTAATGCCTTTCTGAATGTTTAAACTCTAAAATTACCAATGGGTTTGGCATGGACTCCATCTTTATAAACCATATGTAAACCAAAATTCTAGTGGGTGCATTACTTTGTTGATTACGGGTTTGACTGTAAAAGTATCCCTGGAGTGTGGGTGTCATGCCCCGAAGCTTCTCCACATACATACACACAAATGTAAATCACCAACATTGCAATTATTTACACTGATTACTGCTGGAATTTTCTATGAGTTTTTGCTTAGAAAATGTATGACTTAGCCTACTTTATTTGGTCAGTTCTTTAAAGTGATAGTTTCAGGACTAAGCTTCTTTTTTTTGGTTTGTTAAGGTTTTATTGCATCATAAAATATGCTTTGTTACGTCAACCCTGAACTGTCACGAGACATTAACCTATAACATCTTTTGTACGTATTAGTATTGTATCTGAAACACTTTAAGTGTCGTGTGAGAAACATGAATATATTTATCCTAATGATAGTTTAAGTCAATGTTTGGATATTTGAGAAATCCATAAATTTGAATTGAAACTATTGTACTATGGTAACTAATTGTTAATATATATTGTAATTAGACTAGCTTTACTATTGTACAAAGCCGGTGTTGGACCCATGCTTCTATAGCAAATAGGTTTGGGGACAAACATGGCTCCAGGTTACTAGGATGAGTTTGCAGTCAGCCCTGATGGATGGATGAACAGAAGTGCTAACTTCAATAGAACATAGACGTTTTAAATAAAAATAATGAAAACTATGTAATGTTTATAATCCATAAATTCAAGTCAGAAGCAAACGTGTATAATATAAAACAAAAATGAGCATACTATTTATTCCAGATCTATACAATGTGGAAGATACAGTACTCATTTCATGAACAGGAATCAGTTATTTATCATTTTATACGTTCGACTTTTCAAGGCGTGAAAGTAAACCTTTAAGTATAACTAATCAGCACATAATTTTTAAAGAACCTTGTTTTCATCTATACGATGCAGAACATCAAATACAAAAAATAATTTGAAGAACACTTAGCACGAATGGACAAAGTAAGTGAACGTTGAGACTGAGCAGGATTCGAACTCGAGACTCTGCTAACCGAATAGATGCTGTAGTAACCACATTTTGAATGTTGTACTTGTCAGATCTCATTTGATTGATTAATACCGATCGAATTTGTATGTAAAGCAATCGTGATTAAAACCTATCCAAGGTACACACACACAAACACACATCAGCAATTTCTTTCATAATGGCCCGGCATGGCCAGGTGGTCAGGGCGCTCAACTCGCAATCTGCAGGTCGCGGGTTCGCATCCCCGTCCTACCAAACATGCTCGCCCTTTCAGCCGTGGGGGCGTTATAATGTGACGGTCAATCCCACTATTCGTTGGTAAAAGAGTAGCCCAAGAGTTGGACGTGGGTGGTGATGACTAGCTGCCTTCCCTCTAGTCTTACACTGCTAAATTAGGGATGGCTAGCGCAGATAGCCCTCGTGTAGCTTTGCGCGAAATTCAAAACAAACAAACAAACTGAAAGTTTGAATTTTATATATGATTTCTTTTAAGTGTCATTCTCTCTCTCGAATTTTTAGGTCCGATGTTGTTGGACCTGAGAAGATCAGGTATACCTTTGACCTTCCTTCCCTCCTAACAGTATATTCTTGCTCTTTTATTTTTATTGCTATGTCAATTGTTTCAGATTTCATGTGTAATTTGTTTTCCTTTAAAGATGATTTTTGGTACTTTTTATTGTTTAAAACTTCTGCTTCTTGGTATTGTAGTTTGGTCGAGTTTACACTGCAGGATGTTTCACGGGGTCCACACTAACGATGTTATATCCAGGTTGCTGAGGTTATATTTCATCCACATAGAATTTTTCCGATAATAGTTCCCACACTTACACAATGACAGATTTATTTTCTTAGCGTTCGTTAATTAATAAAATTTCACATTGACCTTTTAAGGCCTTGTTCATATTATGGGCTGATACCATCAGTGAGACATAATTACATGTAATTATCTAATATATGATTTTTTAATTTATCTATCTTCTTCATCGGGATTCGGTCCATGTTTTGGACCAGAGAGGGTCAGTGTAGACCTCTTACTCCCAAACAGTTTTAAATGTTAATGCGTTGTAGCCCTTTAAATCTCGCGGGTACTTTACGTCATATTCATACGCAAGAGTACGAGTGGTTAATTATTACTTAGAAAATAAACACATAGTTCGGGCGAAAAATATTTAACTTTACTTCATATATCCTTAAATCATATTTAAAATAATCATTGTATAAGCAGAAACATATAAGAAATAGAGTTAATATTTAGAACTACTTTGTTTGTGCGTATTTACATCTATCTTTCACTATCGTCGAGGGTCGGGTCAACGCGCGTTGATGCAGCAGAGCGTGTAGCGTAGAAGAGAGAAGTGAGTGTGGACGTTAATTTGTCTGTCGTCTCGTTTTGAATGTTCTTCTGGTTCATCATGACAACTTTATAAACTGTGTTGTAAAAATTGTGAAACATTTTGAAAGATGAAGATTTTACCAACGTCCTCAAAACTCTGTTTTTGGACAGCAGTGTTTTACACAGGTGAGTAAACACCAAACTTATCAATCCTCGATGAAGTCGCTTTGCTCGTGCACTTCCTTGCACGTGCGAATTGGCGTTTTAACTTTAAAAAAATTAGTATATAACGTTTATTAAATCGTGACGCTTCTTCCTTTATAACTTGCTGTTAAAACTTTATTTATCTGTGGTCATTATTCTCGACATGTTTTATTTGCCTGCTATATCTTAATTTGTTATAACGCGATGATTTTAAGTTATTTAAAATAACTTGGACTTTTCACACATTAGCAAAAAATTATATTTTAGTTTTTCAAGCTCTGAGTTCATAAAACGATTTGTTTCAGATACTAGCTAGCAGATACTAGCACAGCTATACTAGGGCTATCTACGCTAGCCATCCCTAGTTTTGATGTGATAGACTAGAGCTGATAGAGGGAAGGCAGCTAATGGCAGGAGTTAAGCACATCCACTGCCCCAAACTGCTTAAAACGATTTCTTTTCTGTTTTTTGAGGGAACGAAACGCGAACCAGAGACCCTCAGATCTATAGTCCGTCACGATAAAAAGATGCCACATCTTTTTTTGTTGTTGTTAAATATTGATATAAAATTAGTTAATTATTATTATAATTATTGTATTGAGATAGAAGATAAGTTCTCTATTCAAGTCCTCTGGTAGGTTACATCACACCGTTTCGCTCTGTTTAACTGTCACAAGAGATTCAAACTAATATTATATATTTCTCCATGTTTGGTATGTTTCACATACAAATGTTGCATAGGTTACGTAATGAACGACAAAATCTCAGTTACTTCCATATGAATGACTACTTTTCAGAAAGCGTTGCTAAACAAGTAACGTTGGAATGATTTTATAAATGCGATACAAATCACAGATCTCATACGTGAAAACGAAGAATACGACTTCTGTATTTAATTTTAGGTTACAAAAACTAATGGCGCGAAAAAGTTTATGTAATCGTTTCGAAAAGAAGAAGAAATTAAATATGTCGACTAAATAAAACAACGCGAACAACCTGAACGGATAAGTATAAATATTGGCACACAAATCATATCGAGTTTCTAATCTATTAGTTTGTGTCTCGCCAACTTTTAGTTTACAGTTTGATGTTAAATTAATTTCTTTGAATGAAACACATAAGTAAAAGCCCCCCACCCCCACAGTAGCACAGTTACCTTGCACAGTTTACAGTTTAATGTTAAATTAATTTCTTTGAATGAAACACATAAGTAACCCCCCCCCCAGTAGCACAGCTGTATGTCTGCGGACTTACAACGCTAGAATCCGGGTTTCGATACCCGTGGTGGGCAGAGCACAGATAGCCCATCGTGTAGCTTTGTGCTTAACTTAAAAAAAAAGTAAAAAACAAATACTTTTGCACATAAACAAATGGGAGATCGATGTAGTTCATTGATTTTCTCATTCTCATAAAAAATTAACAATGTTTGCCTTGAGATTTTTACAAAGAAAGATAAAATATTACATTATTACTTCTTTTCTTTCTTCCTCGTTAGTTCTTGTAGCTTGAGTAGTCAAACAGGTTCCTAACAACTATTTCAGAGTTCGATCCCGGCGGCAGGCGGAAATACGCGCATGACCCGAGCCAAAAAATCTTCCGTTGTCGCTATGACCGTTTGTACCGTGTGCCGGAGGAAACAAGCTTTTTCTTCTTCTCCTGCTGTTGTTGGTTTACGTCAATTAGTTATTCGGCCAGTCGGCATGACTGTCGCACGCACATGTTTATTTATTTTGTGATTTGTGTCGTACAATTTAGCATTAATCCAGTTAAATAGGTTAAATCAGCCAATCAAACACTTATATTTTATAACGAAAATCACGTGAGTAGCACAAGCAGATGTGAAGCATAGGTCTTATCAGATTCTGTATACAGTTTGGACACATCCACTATTTTTGTTGTTTTTTAATGAAGGCTTCGAGATGTTTTATATGAAATCTCGTAACTGGTAATTTCTATCCAACTAATGTATTCCCACCGGTGGTTTTCTACATTAGAATATGGATTTCAATTATTGTGAATATCTGGGTGTTTTTCATGATGTTAACCCTCATTAGGTTCTTTCTCGGCTTCAAATGAGGATTTTTTTCAGCCTCTGATTAGTTCTAGATGAGACCCTGGTTTATACTGCTCAATGTTTAGTGTTTTTTAAAGAAGTTTGTTAATTTCGTGATCGAAAATATAGTTCGAAATAATGAAGACTTGGTACTTAAATGACCATTAAAACATGTTACCTTGGACAAGTAAATGACCATTAAAACATGTTACCTTGGACAACTAAATGACCATTACAACATGATTCCTTGCACAGTTAAGTGTTCATTAGAAAATGATTCCTTGGACAATTAAATGACTATAGTAGAACATAATTCATTGGAAACTAAAATGATCATTAGAGCAATATACCTTGGACACTAGAATGACGATTATAACATGATACCTTGGACAATTAAATGACTATAGTAGAACATAATTCATTGGAAACTAAAATGATCATTAGAGCAATATACCATTGGACACTATAATGACGATTTTAGCATGATTCCTTGGACACTAAAATTACCATTAGAGCATGATTCCTTGGGCACTAGAATGACGATTATAACATGATTCCTTGGACAATTAAATTACCATTAGAGCATGATTCCTTGGGCACTAGAATGACGATTATAACATGATACCTTGGACACTGAAATGACGATTTTAGCATGATTCCTTGGACACTAAAATTACCATTAGAGCATGATTCCTTGGGCACTAGAATGACGATTATAACATGATACCTTGGACACTAAAATGACGATTTTAGCATGATTCCTTGGACACTAAAATTACCATTAGAACATGATTCCTTGGGCACTAGAATGACGATTGTAACATGATTGCTTGGATAAGTCGGGCTAAACGAGAAATGTCTCTTAAAGTAATATAATGTAGTGCTTAGGAAGTTCACAATAATACTACTATGTAGGAAACAAACAATAAAGAATGAGGTTATTAACCTTCTGATGATTTGATTTGTATATATTTTAAAAGTAAAACATCTTTTATCCTCATCACGTGGATCGTCTTATCTTGTCGGAGTGTTTAATGAAATATATTTTGAGGTTATTAACCTTCTGATGATTTGATTTGTATATATTTTAAAAGTAAAACATCTTTTATCCTCATCACGTGGATCGTCTTATCTTGTCGGAGTGTTTAATGAAATATATTTTGTCCTGCACAGCTTAACAGACTAAAATGAATGTACGACCTCCCCCAATCTCTCTCTTTTTTCTTTTAAGATAATGAATTGGGATCTTTTAACCATTGCTTACTTATAGAGATCTATTTATGTGAGGAATATAATAAGTGTAGTAGTTCATGCACACTAACGCAAATATACGACTGACCTTTCGCTACTACAGCGATATACATTTCTAACGCTTGCTATTTTTCCGTAATAACGAGTTCAGGAGGAAACATGTGTTTTAGCGTGAGTTAGATTAAAGTAAACAATGTGTCTGAGTTAGATTAAAGTAAACAATGTGCCTGAGTTAGATTAAAGTAAACAATGTGTCTGAGTTAGATTAAAGTAAACAATGTCTCTGGGTTAGATTAGTATGTTTTGAAGTTAAGCTCAAAGCTACATAATGGGCTATCTGTGCTCTGCCCACTACGGGTATCTAAACCCGGTTTCTAGCATTGTAAGTATGTAGACATTCCGCTGTGCCATTGGGGGGGGGCGGTTAGATTAGAGTAAACAATGTGTCTGAGTTAACTTAAAGTAAACAACGTCTCTGAGTTAGACTAGAGCACACGCTGTCCCCACTATCGCGGTTTAATTCTAAATCAAATGTTATGTAATTGTAGCCTGAGTTAGATTAAAGTAAACAATGTGTCTGAGTTAAATTAAAGTAAACAACGTCTCTGAGTTAGACTAGAGCACACGCTGTCCCCACTATCGCGGTTTAATTCTAAATCAAATGTTATGTAATTGTAGCCTGAGTTAGACTAGAGCACACACTGTTCCCACTATCGCGGTTTAATTCTAAATCAAATGTTATGTAATTGTAGCCTGAGTTAGATTAGAGCACACAGACACTGTCTCGACTATTATGGTTTCATTCCCAATCAAATGTTAAATCATACACTAAAATGCAGGATCGAGTGTCAAATGTTCACTTTTTTCAGGCTTGTGCTGCTTTGTTCACTTCTTTTCTAGAACAACAACAATAATATCGTCCTTTGAAACCTGAAGGGAAACTAATCTCTACCTCTAAACCTTGGGAAGATATCACTTCTTCCTTCTCCAACATCCCATGTACAACCAAACAACATCAAGTCTACCTACAGAAACTTCGATTCAGTTTGACTCCTAGTGAACAACCAATGTTGTTGTTGTTGTTGCGTTTTATTAAACCTTTATCTTTATCACAAGTTTCATTTCAAAAACGTAGAAAGATAATGATTGGAGACGGCTTTAATGGGTAATAACTTTAATATAAGTTTAACATAACAGCAAATGTACAACGGTTCGACAAGGTTTCGTCATCATCAGGCACGACAAAATCTTGTCGAAACGTTGTACATTTGCTGTTATGTTCAACTTATATTAAAGTTTTTCTTCATTACTCATTCAAGCCGTCTCCTATCATTATTAGTCTCAAAGTGGGTTCCTCGTTATCGAATTTGAAAACGTAGAAAGAGATGCTTAAAACTCTCGACATTAGAGAATTTTAGTTAATGTAGCTTTAATTTACTTGAAATGTGCAATGAATTGGCATCTATATATATACACACACTCACCTTAATGATCTCATGACAAAAAGTATTTTTAACGAGGCCTAGCTCTCAGATTTGTACGAGTTGTAGCTGAATTACGTAGTATATGTAATTTCATGTTTACCGATCTTGTTGCCTATTATGAGATTGAGTTACAGCAGTTAACTGTTACAGCATTTATGTAATTTCATGTTTACCGATCTTGTTGCCTATTATGA